AGGCCTGCAGAGCCGCCGCGAGGCCGAGCCCAAGCTGCTGCCCTGCCTGCACTCCTTCTGCCGGCGCTGCCTGCCCGAGCCCGAGCGGCAGCTCAGCGTGCCCGTGCCCGGCGGGGCCAACGGCGACATCCAGCAAGGTGAGCGCGGCGGGCGGCCTCTCCCTGGGCGGGTCTCTTCGTGCGGCTCGCCGGGTGCGGGCGTTGGGCTCCGATTCCCGGGGTTTGGACCCGGAGTTCTCCTCGGCCCCGCTGGATCGCTGTACGCCGCGGGGCCGCGCACGTGAGCCCGGTGGTCCCGGCGCTCCGGGGGCCTCCTGGCAGCCGCCCGCTTCGTGTTTTCTGGCGGCGGCCGAAACTCGGCGGCTCTTGGCATCGTGGCGTAAATTGCGTCGTGCGTTTGGTTTGGTTTTGTTTTGGCGTTCAGGAGTGCAGTGGTAGAGGCGTGTCTGTCAGGCGGTGCTCAACTATTCAGCACTCAGAAGAAAAAATTGGTTTAAGTGAAATCTCATTCAGTGTTATTAGAGTATTACGTGCACAGCTGGAAATGGTGTGCGCGGCACAGCCGCGATCGGAGTTTCCTGCGGACCGAGTTAAGCAGCGCTGTCAGTTGACTCGTTGTGCCTGTCTACTACGCACACGTAACTTCTGTGCCCTGGAACAAGTGTAGACTGCTTCTTCCAGGTGTTCTTATTGAAATCACAGCTCGAATTTTATTTTTTTTATTTTATATGTTCAGGGTTGTAATTTAAAAGCTGCTGGAGATTTTAATGGAGTGACTCACCTGCTGTGGTCTACAGACCAAAGTAGGGCCCTGGTAAGTGGTTCTGCAGGTCTTAACTGGGTCCTGTGTTCAGAGACCTTGTTAGGTGACATCTTTCTGGCTTTAGCAAGAACTCAAGCCTTTCCTGTGTTGCATAGCGAATGAATTAACCTGTTGGTAGTGGTGGTTTAGTCTAAACTGATCAGAAGGAGTTCATTTAGGATGTGGTTTTAGAAAGTCCATCAGTTCTAGAAAGGTGATGCATTAAATATAGTTCTATATACTATATTTATATACTATATAAATATAGTATATAAATATAGCAATATAAATATAATGCACTAACTAAAGCACTCCGTTGGTGTTGTGATTCTTGTTTAATTCCAGATCCTACATTCTGCGTTAGATATGCTAGTGAAGGATACAGAACTTGAAAAGCTGGGTTTATTTTACTAGTAATTAGCAGGATTATCTGAATGCTGCTGTATCTGTTAGGATCCAAGTGCGTCAACACAAAGTGCAGCTTCTGAAGTGTATCTATAAACTGGATTATCAGTTCTTGTTAAGCACATCATAAGAATGCTTGATTTGTGTGCTTTGGTGAAGCAAGAATTCATCTTTGGGTTGCTGCATCAGAAACTTCTAGGTGATGTGAGCAAGATGTGGATACAGGGTCCAGGAGCGTGTACTGGTAACGACGTGTGGGATCCGTCTGTGGTGGTACATGAGTCTGCACGAGCAAAGGTATTAGCCCAGCAGGTCAGTTAAGAATATGAGACACTGACCAGCCAGAAGATGCGGTTTTCTGGGCAGCTCTCTCTGCACATTGTAAATTGAATCAGTTGAATGGCACATGAAACGGTCACCAGTAAATCAGGTACAAAATGGACATTCTCAACATACAGAGAAGTACCACATTGCTTAGTCATGCAGGTTCCTTCCCTGTTGGCATGGGTTTTGGGAGTCATGAAGTATTACTTCTGCTTCTCTAGTCTCCTTAACCATGAGCAGGTGCTTTTTCATGAAGGAAGAATTAATGGGAAGTGGTGCCCACAGCTATATCTGAAGCAGTTTACACTTAACTGCAGGCTCTCACTGCTGGATTATATGCTGTCCTGTTTTATATGCGTTTACATTTGCCTGCTATTTTTCAGTGTCTCTACACCTAGATAAGAGAACTACAAATGCTGTGGAAAAGAACTGGTTTTTTTCTTTTGATGTTTTCCCAGGTGCTTTGTTATTTAGTTTCAGATTTTGCCCTGTAAAGTTGTCAGCACTTACAATAGTAAATATGTGTAGTTATTGGGCAATAACTGTGGAAGCTGCTTACCAGGAGTTGAGCGTGAGGTCGGTACCTGCAGAGCAGTTCCGCGGCTGCCGCTGGAAGCTCTGTCCCGCGGGAACAGTGGGGTGCTCGAAGGCGTCGTGCTCTCTGCCTGCATCGTCTTCTACGCTGTCGCCACTCCCTTGAGAGACACTGCAGTGAAGACAGAAGAATGGTCTCAGCTCATAAAAGTTTGAGAAACACTGACTAAAGTTTAAAACAATTTCCAAGGTTGTGGTTTGCTGTATTATAAAGAGGTAACTGGTAGGTCCATACCTATTGCACTGGTGAAATATTTTTTTTTATGTTGTTTACATTTGTGTTGGGGAAACATTAGAAGTTTTGATCATATATATTTAAAACATGTATTTTTATGTAATTTGTTTAACATGAAAAGTAGTATCTCATATTCAGGTTAATGACTTAATAGGCCATTGGAACGAGCGTTTTATTTGGTGGGTAGATCATTTCTTAATGCCTGGTGTTTCAGTTGTCCAGCTGGACTCTTCTTTCCAGGTTGAATAGGTTACAAGAAAATGCCACCTTCTATTTGTATGACAGTATTCTGAAAAAAGCTTATTTCTAAGTTAGAGATTTCAGACAGTTACAGATGCTG